TCAAATCCCTTGGACCTTGCTGCCCTCCCAAGGTGCTAAGCGCCAGCGTTCCCTCTGTGGTTTGGTGCAAATTTTCGGGGACCCGTTTCTCGCATGGGCTTGGGTTTCCCTTGGCGAAACCCCGAACAGGGAACCGGCACGCCACCCGCGGATGGGTCGACCGATCGACCCGTCGACCGGGTCGACGTGAGGTGCACCGGGTCACCTCGGGGCTGAAGGGCGGTGCCCACGTGGCGGCGGTGGCCACGTCGCCCCTGTGGTCGGCAGTGAGGCCGGGGCTGGCGGGATTTGCCGAAGGCGTTTGGAGCTTAGGGAAAGACACGTGCCTGGAGTCTCCAAACATATTTTGTATGGGGTGGACTGAAGTTGAAACGGAATCTGATGAAGCAGCATTTGGAGATGCGTACAAAATAGGGATGTGGAACCGCCCAATTGGTGTTTTTTTTTTTGCTGGCTTCCTTTTGCAACGATCCCAGCAAGGGTAACAAAAGGCACCTTCCTTCTGGACGACACCAACATGCGGTGAACAGTCGGGGCCATGACTTGTGGTGGTTGAAGCGCACAGCACAAAGGGTTTCGTTTCCATGAGGCCTCTTTGAAGCCTTTCCATTGATTGCTGGGAATGGGATTCGTTTTGGTGATATCAGAGAACCCTTGACTTTGGTATAGTATTGTGCCTTGCCGCCCGTTAAGGGAATAATTGATTACCAATGTGGGCACGCCTTTAAGTATTCCCACGAACATGTTCATTCTGGTGGCATACGGATGAGGGCAGGGATATGGGCACAATTTGCTATCCCCCCCTACATTTCTGGCCACTTCTAGCAGTCGACAATTCTGAGCAGCAACCCCGGTTCCCAATATCAGCCCAAATCTGAGGCTGGGCCAACTTCACCATGTCAAACCTTGTCGACTTCCAACTCGCATCTTTTTCTTTTTGTCCCTCGAGAGCCTCTGTTTTCGTTTGTTCCAAGAACCCGCTCTTTCTGGGGTTTCAACATGGCCACAATTTGGTCGTCCTTGCCACATTTCGGGCCCACTTCCGTCAGTTCACCATTCCGAGCAACAGAAAGGACCATGGCTGCAGCCAACATCCTTTTGGAGCAGATTGGGCTGATCCGCCGTTGCATGACGTCAGACGGATTTGCCCAAGTCAACCCCGACAGCGGCCCACCTAATTTCCCTCCGAGCTTGCCAGACGGTTCGGTTTCGTTTTTTTTTCTTCCCCCCCTATTTTTTTACTCCGTAGTTTAAGGTGACTATAGCTCTCACCTACATTTGCACCAGCTTCCCTGATTGTTGGAGACATGCTACCAGCTATCTTTGATTGAAGGCTTATAGCCAAAGCAGTTTTGTTTGGCGAAAGGACCAACATTTTGTGTTTCAACCATATCTTTCGCCAAAATCGCAACCCCCCATCAGCTGCTTTTCTATTTCCATGTCCAAGGTCCCCTTGGTACTGTCCCAAAAAGTCTAGGGCTACCTTCCCCATTCTTTCCAGGGATCCTTCTTTTCACGAAACCATCCAAACACTTTTTTTTTGTTGAAAAGAACGGTGGTTGAACATAATTGTAACAGGAATCAACGCCTAGACACAAAAAGCAGTAGTTTTTTGAACCCGGGGCGCTGCTTCGCCCATGTCAACCCAGGCGCGCGGTTTCCTGGGTGGCCAAAGGCCGGCGGGTTGGCGCGGTTTTTGGTACGGCTTGCGGTGATGGAGGGCTTGGTGCGCAGTGGAGCAACATGTACCCTCCCGCCAACTCACATGGAGCTGCAAAAGAAGAAAAGGCCCTTTCCAAGGGGGAGGGTCGTCTTTCTACAGGGGTCTGTGCACTTCCATGCTAGCTGGTGGGAGGGTAAGTTTTTTTTGCCAGCAATCATGGAAGTGGACGAGGTTTCTTTTCGTTGGCCAGTCTTGTTGACAGCCCCTCCATGAAGGGGTTGAACAGGCCTTGGGCTGTTCCAACCACGAGGACTTTGGAGTTTCTCAAAATCGTGCTCCCCCGTTTTAGTTGGCGCTTCAAGGGACATCAAAAGGACACAAACCATGTTAGCGAGCAAACACCCATTTGTAGCCCAACCCAGGGCATGCAGGAATCGATTCTCCTCAAGTGCTCCTACCAAATGTACTTTTCCATTTGACGTCCAGCCTTCCAAGAGTTCGAGAGGATATGATGTACATATCCCTCAACATTCGGGGCAGGCTATAGACGTGTGACCAAGGGCCATGTCAATTGTGAAGTTCCCAAGTTTACAGTCTGCTGTGGAGGGCAATCAACTTGCCAAAAGGACACCTAGTGCGCATGAGCGTTTCTTTTAGGCACCCTTTCTGCTTTTTGTGTCTTTTTCCACTCTGCCCAATGGAAGCTCCACCAGTGTCACAGGGACCAGAGGGTTGCAACCTCTTCTCCCGAGGTGAGCTTCCCTCAACTATGGGTTCCATGTGTGGGGCTGGCTTTTTAATGAGTTGGTACCCCTTTTGGGTGGATTTGAAAGGGAAACCAAGAGGACCACCGCAGCCATTTTGGGGTTCTTCCAAAAAAGGCACCCCCCACGTACCCCACAGCTGCCCGGTCCCGTCAATCCTCCCGCCACCGGCCACATGCCAGGTGTCACCCGGGCCGTCCAGTGGTTGGCCAAAGTCGCCGACGCGGCGGCGCAGGCGTCGCAGGAGGCGCAGAGGAAGGCGGCAGCCGTGGATGGCGTCGAGGGCACCTTGCTATTGGCATGGTTCTTAAGGGAAGCCAAGGATGTTAGGGGGGGGGGCTACTTTGAGAAGAACCTTCCCCCCCCCCCCCCCTCTCGCGGATTTTTTTCCGAGGGAAACATCAAAAGGCGCCCATGGCGATTTGAGGTTGGGCGCATCCGAAAAGGTAGACGTGTCATTGAGCCATCAACACCTGATTTCAGGTAGGGTGCAGTCCTCTTCGGCAGATCGATCCTCCCCCCCCACCCACCCAAAATCAGGCTTGGGCCATTTTGTGTTTGTTCACCAGATCCGATCAGTTCCCTAAACCAAAAGGAGGTTGTTTAAGCTCACCCGGCCATTAGCGGCCCCAGCGAATTTGCATTTTTTCTTTGGGGGGAGGGGGTTGGGTGGGGGGGTGGGGGGATAATAGCGTTCGCGTCTGCATGCACTCTTGTGCTTCACCTGGTTTAATGCACGGGTGCTTTACAACATGACTTCAAGTTGGTCCATGGCCCATGGTTAAGCCATCAGTTTCATCTCCAGGCCCAGCCGAAGGACTCGCCGGACAAGGCGCCGGCCCAGAAGAAAAGGCCGACGTGGACCGGACCGGACGGAGGGGCGGCGTGTGTGCCAAAGAAGTGTGTTCTTGGGTAGGATGATTCCCACCAAGTCGTGCTTGTTTATTGTTTTTGGTCAACCGATGTTTTTCTTTTTTTTTTTTGTTTCAGCCCCGGCTCGGGGCTTAGCCCTGGCCAGGGGACTGGTTGGTTGGTTGGTTGGTTGGTTGGTTGGTTGGTTGGTTGGTTGGTTGGTTGGTTGGTTGGTTGGTTGGTTGGTTGGTTGGTTGGTTGGTTGGTTGGTTGGACCGGCCTCGCTCGAACTGGGACTGCCTATTGGCTTTGATTTGGCAGTTCAGGGTTGCTCGGGGCTGATTTTCGGGTGAGTGTTGCAAAGGGCTGTTGGGAGGGTTTCAGGTTGACTTTGAGTCGGTTGGGTTGGCTTGGAGCTGATTTGTGCGAGGTGTGGATTTGGGGCAACGCCCGAAGCAGCCCAAAAGCTAACGCAATCGCACAAATCAGCTCCAAGCCAACCCAACCGACTCAAAGTCAACCTGAAACCCTCCCAACAGCATCCTGGATATCAGCCCTTTGCCGAGCCGAAAAAACAAAGACCCCCCTCATTATATAAGACCTCGGCAAGCCCAACACTCACCCGAAATCAGCCCCGAGCAACCCTGAACTGCCAAATCAAAGCCAATAGGCAGCCCCAGTCCGAGCGAGGCCGGTGATGCTGGGGATGCGGCCAACCAACCCGCCGCCCAACTTGGCCGAGTAGGCCCCGAAATAAGAATACCGCCTGTTGCCCCCACAGGGCACCACTCGTTTTTGGGGCTTTCTTCCCCGTCTTGAGAGAAGCCCCCAATGGTTGGATTGCTCTTGGTGTCCCTTTGTGAGTCCTGGCGCAGATCCACGACTCGCCTGAATCGAGGTTTGAGTGGAGCCGTGCTTGGTTGGTAAAGAGATTTTGACAGCCATGACCATGACCTGCAGTTTGACCCTGGCTCAGAGGGCGGGGACCAATCATTTTTCCAGAAGCACACCTGAAGAGAATCCAGCCAAAGGTTCCAGCTTTTGTGAGACTCGAGCGGACGTTTACAAGCCTTCTCTTGAGACCAATCCAAGGAGAAGGAGACACGGTGAGCATGTAAGTAGATTCCCCAAAACTGGCTGGTTTCCCCTTCGCTATGTTTCCCACTTGCCAGGTTCGGCTTGCCGTTCGGTAAGCCGAAGCCCAAGGAATGAGCCGCAGGCCGGGGAAGAAAGGTTTCCAAATTTTCAGATTAGGAGTTGGTTCTCAATCGAGAGTTAGCTGACTGAGCCAATGGATCTCAAGTTAGGAGACTTGGGGATGAAACATGTCATGCTGCCGCCAGGCGCTTCGAGCGCTTCGAGCGCTTCGAGCGCTTCAAGCCTTCGAGCTCGCACGAGCGGGGGCTTTTCAAAAGAAAGTGCGGCGCGGGTGGCGTGTGGTCACCGAAGCCGCCTGCCCGGGGCGGCTCGTTGTTTGTTCTCGGTGTTTTTGTACGTTTATATTTGCTCTTTCTGCGCACATTATGGTTCTGAGGCTGTTTGAGATATTTTTTGAGGAGGTGGTGGGACAAAAGGAACAAGTGATGTGTTCTTATGCATGTTTCCGCGCAAATTTTGATGAGCTCACCTTGAACCAAGCAGGCTCACCCATGCTGAAGGTCCGTTACTTGGGGATTTGGGCTGCACTTCGTATGTTTGGGCGGCCTCAGCTCCCTGGCCAGGTGCACAAGAAGACCTGCAAGACTCAAGGCCGTGCGGAGGAGCCGGGGGATGGCTGTGAAAGGAAGGGCCAAACCTGAGGAGAGACAAGGCGTCCATGTGGCTGTGGGAAAACAAAACAATGGTGCCATTTTGGGGTAGGCGCACCACCCATTTTAGTCGATATGTTCACTGGCGGTACGGGATTTTGACCCATGCCCATGTGAGTCTCAATGAAACCCCGGCATTTGCGGCAACTGGCTCCAACCCTCGTCTACCGGGTCTTGATTGTGGCTTACATGTTGAAACAACCATTCTTTAAGCATATTTTAAGAAAACTTTTAAGCCACAAAAAAAGGGTACCCTCAAAAGACACACCCGGGAAAACTTCCCCTAGAACATTTGATTTCATCCCCCCCCCCCCAACATCTTGGTTTGCTCAAGCTGTCTGGTTTACCGGGTTTGGGTTGGTGGGTTGCGGGGTTACCTTCCCTTCTGGCTTAAACCACCAAGGGTTCCAATCCCCTGGCACCAATCCAAACCACCTATGTCGAGTAAGGTGGTCTTTTGCGTAGGACGGCAAGCATGGTGCATTAGCAGATGCCGTGCCCTCAGCCGGCCTGGTCGACAGGTTGCTCGGACAAAGCACGCATTGAGCACGCCCATTTCACTTTGCTCGGGTTGATGCCCAGTTTGGGTAGTCATCCACTTTAGGAACCCACATGAAGGGATTTGTGCCGTGTTTCACTCTGGTGTAATCATGCTGTGGCGAGCCATCGTTGTTGTTGTTGCTGCTAAAACGCAGCAGTCTGGAACATCTAGTGGACCTTTGCCCAACGATGTTTGGCCAACCAAGCCAAACACCAAGTGGGATCACGAAGCTTTAGCTAGTTTGTTTGACACTGATTGGTTGCCCAGCAGCAAGCAGCAGATCAACAACCAGCCCAGGGTTAGGGCCAATCCGCTAGCGATACAGGGCTTGAGCTTCTGAATGATCAGAAAGATAAAAGAAGAGCTTTGCGGTGGCCCCTTTGTACTCCCGTGTCGGGTGGGTTTTCTCCCAAATTCAGCCAACAAAAAACGCCTACACTCCTGCAGCAACAGGGAACCCAACAGGCAATCCGTTTTGGAACATTTTTTTGTTGGGACCGTCCTTTTTCTTTCGCAGGGCATTACGCTTTTTGACCCGTGATAACCCATTGTCCCAAATTTCGGGGGTCTCCTATGTCAAATTATGTGACATAGAGGCCCTATCGGTATGTCAGTGGGAAACCAACAGGACGCCTTTGAAGGGATCCAGCAACTGCCTTCAGATGTCTTTGAACATGTCAACGTAGCGGGCCTTCTTGAAGGCACCTCGAATTGGGCACGGTTCCACGATCCTACCATCGCCCACTGAGGCTGACAGCACCGCGTTGTAGTGGAGTTCTTCTCATTTTCTTTTTTTTTGGGGGGCCGATAGCCCACCCAGGTCATGGGGGTGACTTCACGTCAAAATCGAGGGTGTATAGCTAAAATGCACTGTTCAAACACGAGATTCCAGGAAGGAGCTCATGGCATTTCATTTGGTTTCACATTGCGTCCAATCTGCTGGTGTGGAGGGTATCACACTACTTACACTTCGCCATGCCAGTAACGTGAGGGAATGCAGCCTGTTGATCCCGGGAAAGTGAAGGCGAGTAAGGACAGTCCGATTCAACCACATTCAGATGCGGCCCTTTCCCTTTGATTGCGACTCGTATGGGCATGTGTATTTTGAAGTGTGCACGCCTTTTTCAGCCTGGCTTAGAGGGAATCCGGCCCACTTGAGTACGTTTGAGAGCTGCAAACACTTCAAAAGTGCAAACCTTTCAGGTCAGGCTCGGAGACTGGCACACCAGCATTGTGAATGCCTTTGCATGTCTTGTGTGTGCGTGTGTGTGTGTGTGTGTGTGTGTCCAAGTAGCTGAGTTGTTTGTTTTGTTTGTTTGTTTGTTTGCTTGTTTGTTTGCTTGGCTGTTTGTCTGTCTGTCTGTCTGTCTGTCTGTCTGTCTGTCTGTCTGTCTGTCTGTCTGTCTGTCTGTCTGTCTGTCTGTCTGTCTGTCTGTCTGTCTGTCTGTTTGTTTGTTTGTTTGTTTGTTTGTTTGTTTGTTTGTTTGTTTTGTTTGTGTGTGTGTGTGTTTGTTTGTTTGTTTGTTTGTTTGTTTGTTTGTTTGTTTGTTTGTTCGTTTGCTGTTTTGTTTTGTTCGTTTGTTTGTTTGTTCGTTCGTTCGTTCGTTTGTTCGTTTGTTTCTTTCTTTCTTTGTTTGTTTGTTTGTTTGTTTGTTTATGATACTGCACAGTGAAGTCTGGAGTTTGCATGGGGTCCAGCAACCCGAGCCTGAGTATGGCTTGGGCCGAGACGGGCCGAGACTAGCTCAAGGACCCTCTGCAAGGCGCTATGCCAGATGCAAATAAGTAGATGCACCCGCACGTGCAAGACAAACACCCAGCAGGCCCAGCAGTTCCAAGTCTTGCTCTGGCAAAGGGGAGATGTCGTAAGAAAGAGTGCGTGAACATTTATCCGGATGACTACCGGAATTGCCACAAGACCGCAGCAAGCAAGCTTCTCACAGTCAACCAACGGAAAGTTGCAGAAATGACAAATCCTCAGAAGCTGCGGTGGAGCAACAGGGCGAGCCGAGCACAGAATGTACACAGCGATTCGCCACTCCGCGCATCCCTAGGGTCAAGAACAATTTAGAGATTAGTTCCCATCTCTGTTCTTGCGCGAACCATGGGTGCGGCATCAAGTCATGCAGGCTATGCCTGTGAACGCCATTGTCAAGCATTGTGCAGTGAACCTGTTGTGCAAGCACGGCAATGCAAGGCTCGCTTCATGAAGATGCTTGGACCCATACCGATCAACCATGAGGCCCTATTTCAGCTTCAGGAACATGGCTTTCTGCAAACTAGGAATTGGGTTCCAGACTTCCCTTTTCACAAGCTCTTCCCGGGAGGTTCACAGGTCAACCGATATGAGTCAACGGTGGCCTATGCATATACGGTGGGCAATGTTTTTGCATATGAGGTCAATCAGCTTCTGCTCAAGGAAGACTTGGACCAGCTCTTCCACTTGTATGGGTTTGTCGTGAAATGCCTTTGGTCGTACATTCAGATGATGCAGGAGTGGTATGGCGCAGAACAGACTCTGTACCGTGGTATGCGACTGTCGGAAATTGAGCTCGGCGAGTATCGTGCTGGAGCATGCATGTCATGGTCAGCTTTTTCAAGTACATCGACCGACATGGAGCAAGCTCTTGAGTTTGCACAGGGCAGCTACGCTCAGTCACGCGGTGGGGTCCCGGTCTTGTTTGCGATCAAAACACTGACCAGAGGTGCGCCTATCATGCAGTGGTCCAAGTATCCGCATGAGAACGAGGTGTTGCTCGATCCTTTCCAGGCCTTTAAGGTGCTCAAGGTGGAGACGGTTGATTCCTTGTTCGTGATTACGCTCAGCACAGTTGTTCTTCGCTGAAGGAGGGCCTTGCTGCCTTGCCGACATGATGATCCCTCTCTTTCGTGATTTGCAACCGCCTGAAATGGCATCTTGGCAGGATTTTTGATTCTCGTGAATTAGCGCAGCTCTTGTCAGGCGGCTGACTCACAGACAAGAAAGTGCAGAACGACTTGAAACTGACTTTGTTGCAGCCTGGATTGTAGGTCATCTGAATGTACTTGATTGTGCAGTTGTCACAATTTGAGCCGGGGTTGACGTACGTCTAACTCTATGTCCACACAGATGTCGAGTCCCCATCAATACTCAACACATCGTCTTCTGTCTCCGCGTTCCCAGGAACTTGGGCGCTGTTTCAGAATTGTACTTGCAGCAAGTTTCAGTCCCTTTTCCACTCACTCCTGGCCCATGTACAAACCTTACAGCCATTCAGCTCAATTTGGGACCCCGCACGGTTGTGAAGTTTCCCGTGGTGCAGTTCACAGTCTAGAAGTCTGTAGGGGTCCTTCTAGCTTAGTTTGGTTGAAAAGAGTTGGTAGACCCATACATTTTTCTGAGTCCAAGCCCGACCTTTCCACCTTCTTCCCTTGGTTGACCTTTGCTTTCTCCTCCGGGGCGCTTTTGGTTGGGGGGAGAGGAGGCTTGGGGCTTTGGGCGCTCGAACCGCGCGAGCTGAGGGCGAATGGCTGCTGTGCGGCAATTACTTCCGGCGCGGGCTCCCAAACCCGGGCTTCCAAAAGGTCTCCATCAGCCTAGTCGGGTGGTTCCAAGAGGCCCAGGCCCTTTGGGGTTGGGTTGTCTCCAGAATTGGACGGATTCCTCGACAAGGGGAGTTTTCCTTGGTTTTTCCTGACATGCCCCTGCTTTTGAAAGGACTGTTGTGTGCTCCTGTGAGTGCAGCCCCGGAGTTGCATCCCAATTTGCTAAGCCATACCTACATGCCGCAGATTGAGTTGTGTAAGTCTTGGGCCATTCTGTGCTACACGTGGCAAAGTGCCTTTGGGAGTCATAAAGCCTGGGAACCCACGACTCGACGAGTGGGGAGGATCCGTACCGATTTTGCTTGCATGGAATGTGCCCAAAGTTAGCGACCGGCTTCTTGGTTCCTGATTTTGACAGCCTATTTCTTTTTCACGCGGCTGAGCTCGCTTGTTCACGGTCCGGGCAGATTCCGCTCGCTTGCTTCACATGACAAATCTCTGTCTGCGCTATATCTCTAAGAATTCCATTCTTTCCAGGGATCCTTCTTTTCAGGAAACCATCAAACTCCCAGGGGAGACAGCCGGCTGTTGAAAAGAACGATGGTTGAAAAGAATGGACAAGGAATCAACCCCTAGATCCATTTGGAGTCCTCACACCTCCAGATACCCGCGCGGCCAGGCAGCAGTTGCAAAGAGAAGCCAGCCTGAGGCAAAACGGACTGCCCGGCTTCAGTGAGCTTCCGACTTGGGGGTCTTCCGGAAATAACCCAATTGGGGCCCTTGGTTTGCTCCGGTCCAACTTTTGAGGTCTCGGGTTTTGGGAAGTGACTGTTTCCCAACGTAACAGACATGTCGAATCATTTGCAGGGGGTCGAGTCGAAGGCCAACCCAAAGGAAACTCAAGAAGCAGGCGGTTTAAATCAAGTGATAGCGGCTGACATATGCTTGAAACAAGGGGTTGCATCCCCTTTGTCCCTGCGACCATGTCAGGTTGGGTCAAAGCTGGTTTCCGCTACTTCAAGCTATCGCTGAGAGTGACGTTGGCAAATGCTTCAAGTGGCAGCAACGGTGGCACGCAGTGTGAACCGAGCTTCGGATCTTGTTTCCCAGGCGCCCATGCAAATGTGAGAATGTTGCACGGCAGATCTGGTTTGGGGGATCTCCTTTGGAAAGTGTGCTAAGTCGGGAACTCTCTCCAGGCTTCGGGGACGCCCCCCCCCGAATGATGAGGCTTGCCTATTGGTTACTCCACCATCCACCCAATTCCGGGTGGCCACTGCCTCAATTTGTCGTGGTTTCAGCGGTCAGCAGATCCCAAGCGGGTCAGTGGAGATAGTGGAGTATAGCTCCAGCCGCGATTTTGGGTCAACTTGTTTATAACCGAGTTTGGGGTGTGAGTCATTTGCATCTGTCTCTATGGGTTGCCACCCTTCAGCTTTCCCTGAACTCAATCCCCATGAGAGGTACCATCCGGTCAATATCCAGCAGTTCAGACATCGGTTGCAACCTTTGATGTTTGCCCACATGCGGCCCTCGGCTGATGCGCAGGCCAAAAGTGTTGGTCAAGCCGATAGTGGGCCTGCAGAATGAGGCCGCCTTTTGCAAGGAGTTCGGGCGGGGTATGTTTGTTGTTTCACCCAGCCAGCCTGGGCCGTCTTGGGGTCCCTAATTTTGTGGGATGAGGACACGTTCTTTCAGGTTGCTACTTTCCATGAGTGGCACGGGGATTCCCTTACGCTGTACAGAAACATGGTTGTGGGAAATTGGGATGGGCCACTTACGATCTCACGAGAGCCCCGTGAAAGTGACAAAATGTAGGAATGGCCCGTTTCGATGTCTCAGCAAGGTCTATTTTGCACAAACCACCTGCAGAACGGTGCCGGCCTTTCCCATTTTCCACAAGCCCATGGGGCCGAGCTTTTGTGGTCGGCCGGGAGCAGCGGTGTTTTAGCGAGCTTCCGCGGCCAGGGCAACACGTGTTACCTGAACGCCATTTTGCAGTGTCTTGTACATACACCGTTACTTTATCAGCCGCGCGCTCAGCTTTTTTGCCGAGGACGTAGTACAAAGGGCCCAGCTATGGACCCAGCTGGTCTTTTCTCCACTAGCCCCCCGAACCGCTACCCTCGTGTCATGGGAGACATGGTATATATGGTACAGCGTTGCCAGCCCCCCCCCCCGCCCACCAATGCCCCCCCCCCCTGTGGTTGTGGTCCTGTGGTTGGGTTGTGGTGGTTTAGGGTTGGTTTAGAATTGGTTTAGGGTATATTTAGGGTGTATTTAGGGTTAGTTTAGGGTTGGTTTAGGGTTGGTTTATGTTGATTTAGGGTGGTTTAGGGTTGGTTTAGGGTTGGTTTAGGTTTACGGTTTAGGGTTTGGTTTAGGGTGTATTTAGGGTTGGTTTAGGGTTAGTTTAGGGTTGGTTTAGGGTTGGTTTAGGGTTGGCTTAGGTTTAGGGTTTATTGTTTAGGGATTGGTTTAGGGTGCATTTGGGGTTAGTTTAGGGTTGGTTTAGGGTTAGTTTACGGTTGGTTTATGTTGATTTAGGGTTGGTTTAGGTTTAGAGGTCTACGGTTTAGGGTTTGGTTTAGAGGGTATTTAGGGTTCGTTTAGGGTTAGTTTAGGGTTGGTTTATGGTTGGTTGCGGGTTGGCTTGTCCTGGGGGTGGGGTTGCCGGGGTGTCGGGGTGCGAGTTCAGGGGGTCGGGGTGGGACCGTAGGTGACAGGATCCGGGGGCTCGGGGTCTCGGGCCGGGGGGGGGGGGTCCTGGGGGACCCATACCATATGGGGGGGGGGGGGTAGCAACACGGAACACGGGACCATATATGACCACCATAGCCACTGCGAGGGTACTCCATGTTAGGCCTCTGATGAGTGGTTTGGGGGGATCTGCTCTTGAGGTTTTTGAGCTAGAGCAAAGGAAAGCAAACCCACCCCAGCTCGAGGGTTTCAGAATTCGGGGAAGTGAAGCGTGCAGGTGCGTGACTTTCGTAGCGCAGAAAATACTTGAAAGGTAGCTTGAGTAGGTAGCGCGTGCGAACAGATAGCTCTCTCAGATAGCTTACAGAAGATCAGATGGCCTGTGCGAAAAGAAAGCGTATGCAGATAGTTTGCGCGATGATAAGATGAAGAAGGGATGAACGCATGCGGGGGGGGGGGGGGAACAAAAAAAACATGCGTGGGCGTGTGGCGGGGTCTGCGTCGATGTCAGCCACCTCTGTCTCCAAGCATGTCTGGCGCGGGTGCGGCACGGTGTTTCGATTGCGTGGTAAGCGCAGTGCTTTCGCAAGGTCAGCTTTCGCAAGGCGAGGTACAGATTTGCGTGGCAGGCGCAGCGCTTTTGCAAGGTCAAGTGCAGATTTCGTGGCAGGCACATCACTTTTTGCAGATTTCGTGGCAGGTGCAGCACTTCCGCAAGGTCAGGTGCAGATTTCGTGCAGGAGCAGCGCTTTGGCAAGGCCGGGTGCAGATTGCGCGGCAGGCGCAGCAGTTTCGCAGGGCAGGCGCAGCAAATTGGCAGGGTCAGGTGCAGATTTCTTTGTCTGTGAGTACGCTGACCTTCGGGTCAGCGCTATATTTTGAAGCACCTCCTCTCACTGGACTATCAAAAAGAGAAAAGAAAGAGAAAGACAAAGATAAAGAGAACAATGAAGAGAAAGAAAAAGAGAAAGAGAAAGAAAAGATAAAGGAAAGAGAAAGAGAAAAGAACGAGAACGAAAAGAAAGAGAAAGAGAAAGGAGAAAGAGAAAGAGATGAGAAAAAGAAAGCGGAAACAAAGAGAAAGAAACGAGAACAGAAAGACCCTGAAAAGAGGCGAGAGAGAGAGAGAGAGGAAAAAAAAACAGAGAGAACTATAGTTTGCAAATTTTCTAGAAACTTCCGACCACTTGTTTTGCCGGCTCTATGTTAAACAGACCCATTTTGGAGAGGGTTCCCTATTCAAGTCACAAATACCTAATTTGGCCCATTTTGGCTTGACCCAGGTCTCTGTGCGAGCTGCCATCGCAGTACCTTAAGAAAGAGGACAGGGTGAGGGGTGAGAAAGAGCGGATACGAGCCAGAAAAAGGTCTCCTTTTTCCCCAGCCAGGTTTCTCCCCAGATATTTTCTCAAGGATTATTGCTGGTTCGCTGGTAATCGGCAGCCGGGTACACTCCAGACGGCAGTGCACGTTTCTTTCCTCCACAGAGACAGATGTGTCTTGCCTGGCGCCTGAGGATTGGCTTGGGTGTCCTTCGGCTTTGCTTTTCACCCTTTGGTTCTTCCGATGTGTCCCCAATTTGGGGCGAAACCTCCCCCGGGTGGCCTGATTCAAAACGTCAGGACGGAAGACGATGGCTCGCCGAATTCCGGCAGCTCTACGAGGGCATGTGTGAGGCCGGGCTTTCGGGGTAGTTTGTTTTTCTTTTAGACCCGTGCCCTTTTCGGATGCCGAGCCGTCCGGAAATGGAGTTGTTAGATGTTGAAGAATGACAAGAATATCTTGGCGGATGTTGTTGATGGGGGCAGCCCCCCCCGCAAGTCACCCACCAAAAATACCAGCAACATTTCGCGAGTTGACTGGGGATGTCTCCCCTGCTTTCGTGCTTAAGACCTCAGCCTCCCAGGCGGAAGACAGGGGCAGACCAGCCACTTCCTCGAACATCGCGGAGCCAGTCCCCCAGTCCCGAGTTGCCATGCGCCTTGGTGAGGCCGCAGCGGTTTTTCGAGTTTCTTCTTGGGTAGGGCAGCTGCAAACCTCGGGTTTTGGACAAATGTGCAGGTGCTCCCCGAAAACGGTGATGACTCACAAGGAGCTTTCAGGTTTTGGGCATGGCAGCTGTGGGCGTTTGGAAGTGGAAGTTCCGAGGCGTACCATGTCCGTTTGTGTCACAACAGGAGCTCCAATAAGGGTCGATCTCCGTTTGGTTTCCGAGAAAAAGACACGAGGCGTGTGGCGTTGGCACCTTTGGCACCCAGGCTCATTACCGCGAACAAGGAGTTCTCTCGGGGCCAACAGGCGAGAGTCCAAGCCTGGGTGGCTGGAAGTTCCGGCGGGAGTGCAGATGTCCTTTCAAAAAGAAGCTGGGCGTTGCGGCAACATTTAAGACCGTCCTTTTGGGGGTCTCCCCTTTCTGGTAAAGGGACGCATTGAAATCAAAAGGGCCGAAAGGACACCAGAACCGACAGGGAACCTGGGCGGTCCCGGAAGCTTCGGTCGGCGCGTAACGGCTCAGCCGCAAGGCGGACGCCCACGAGGCGTTCATGTTCATCATCTCCAGGTGCGGGTCTCAGCACGCTCAACCCTTTAAGGGGCAGTCTGCAGGCGCATGTGCGTGTGTGTGTGGTCATCTTCGACCCATCACAGTTGGTCAAAACGAGATTGCTTGCGTCATGTTCAAAGCGGACGTACAGATGTTTGAGGAATTGTGCGCCTGCCGGAACGAGTTGACGCATGTCTAACTGGAAGTGTTGAGATTTGTTGTAGCTATGAATGTCCAAGATAGAACCTCCCTCCAAAAGTGGGTATGGGTCAAAATAGCGGGACCCTGAAGCCTTTTGAACTTTGGGTTTTCGTTAAAGCCAAGCTCACCCACGTACACGATCCTCACAAGAGCGGCGCTTGTGACACAGTTCAAAGGGTTCCTGGCTGTGCATCCCCGATTTCGGGCGAGTGCGGCAAAGCCAGCAATTTGGCGTACCATGAAATCCGAGGGAGAGGATCTGAATCACACTCAGTCCTGTTGGCATATCTTTTTTTGAGGGGATGCGGGTTTCCTTTAAACTTTAATGTCAACTACTAAAACAAACGGTGCGCTTTAACCCCCGATGGGTTACTCTGAAGTAATATACCCATAATCCGACACCTAGAAACAATAGAATCTTCTTTTACCTACCAGAGATCGTTGATGATACAACTGCTAAACAATTACAACCTGCACCGCAAATATGGTGGTCGCTACATGGCTCCGTTCTATTGTGGGGCTATGTATACATAATATGTATATAATGTATATATATATATACATAGATATATATATATATATATATATATAGTGTCGTTAAGTCATGCGCCTTTTTCACGGGGCCCGAAAACACCGAGAGAGGCCTTCGGTTCCCATCCCCCCGACTCCCGACTCCCGCCCCTCGCGCCCTTCGAGCGAGGCTGTTGGACGCGTGCCTCGTGGTGGGCGACGGCAACGGCGCCTCCCCGGCGGGCGCCAGCTACGCCGTGCGGGAGAGTCGAAGCGGTCGACGGGATCCCCCGGCTCTTGGGTGTCGGTGTTGGGTCGAAAAGTATGCAGCCAGGATGGCCAGAAGGGGTCCTTCTTGGGTTAGTTTTGTTAGAAAACATCACTCTGGCTCGCATATTTCTTTTCTCCAGAAGCCATGGAAAGGAGACCTAGCGGGACTATCAACTCGTCGCCGGTTGTCGGTTCTCAGTCTCGCTTGGGTCGCCGGGGACGGGGGTCGTTTTTTCGCTCCTGGCTGCTGGGTCACTTAGAGTGACAGTTCGGCTCAGGAGAGCCTGGAGCGCAGCAGCTTGATTGGTCACGTCTTTGGTATGGACCTCGGGCGCGGGCCTCGAGGCCTCGAGGTGCGAGAAGCCGCCGGCCTCGTAGGTCTCTTGTCTTTTTTTTTTTGGTTTTTTTGTAGGTTTTGAAGGGATTGGTTCTCGAAATCCTCTGGCAAGTTTGGGGTCCGTGCCCATCTTTTGGGGCCTTGCCCTGTGACACACACATCCCTCCGTGCTGTCGGGGATTGGGCACTCCTGAAATTCAGCCTTGGACCTCACATGGTGGTTGAAGGGAAGCACCTTCCAAAGGTTATCAAATGAGAAGGGATGTTTTGCGGCATGTTCGCTTGAGGCCCAGCGTTGCGCCCTGTAGATTCTTTGCCGTGCGTTTTGGGTAGATCATTTTGAAGCTCTAGGGGTGACTTCCCCATTCTTTCCATCCTTCTTTCTGGAAACCCAACCACCAAACACCCCGGGGAAATCAACGGCTGGTTTTTGGGGCTGAAAATAATGGAAAAGGGATCAACCCCTAGAAAAGCGAAGTTTTGATCACTCAAGGCCTTCAGTCCGCTCGGATGCGCCGCTGGAGCTGCCCAGGCAAAGAGTGCGATGCAAGAGCTGCAGCTATAGCTCCATCAAGTCACAGGTGGAGTACTGCCTCTGCCTCAGGCCGGGGCAACTTTGGGCTTTGGGCTTTCGGGTTCTGGGATGGGCTTCGTGGCTGTTTGTTGGGTTGGTTTTGTGGGTTTTGCGGCTGCCTCAAAGGGGACTTTTTACATACTGACTTGGAGCCAAAGCAAGGGAGAGCGCTATGAACTTCCCTTGGCTCCCATTGCTATGGCTCACTGGATTAAAGGGGACCAGTGCTTGTCCACAGCTGTGTTCCATAAAATGAACATGTTGAGTCTCAAGTGAACATGCTGGGGGTGGTTTCCATTTGGAAACCACCATTTGGAGGCTACTCGCAATTCATTTTGCGGATATCATCTTGTTTTTGGAAGAAAGAACCCAGAAGTTGGAGCTTTGGCATGCGCATGGGCGACTTGCGGGGGCGATTGGCTTCACTCTTCTTGTTGTGTTTTTTCCGGCATTTTCCCACCGGGCGGTCTCGCTAGGATAATCTGCGACAGCGCTTGGGTCTTTTGATTATTCCTATGTTCGTCTCAGAATGGCATCTCTCCCATATCGATGTGGGAGCAGAGAGTGTACTTTTTTTGGGGGGAAGGGGGCAATACCACCCAAAGAAGGAAGGACACCGGCTCCCCGCCAAATCAGAGGGGAAAGTCCCTAACTTTGAGCAACATCACTGGCCACATGTGGTGCTCTCTCCTTTTCAAGGACCTCTGACTCCAGCCCGGCGACATGGGCAACAAACACTCCCACCCGCCTGGTCAAGCGCCTTTTGTTTCAACTGGGTTCCTTAAGGTGACCATTTGGAGGGGTTCTCAAAATTACTCTTGGCAAAAGTTTCACTTTCACCAACCAGTTTCAGGGTATTTTTGAGTATGTCACTTGAATGGACCCAGTTCAAGCTTTTGGTTGGAAGTAGCGCAGCTGGGGGGGGGGGTTGGAGGTCCTCCCCAAAGTAGCCCCTCGTCTTCAATGTACCCAACCACGATCAATTCCGGTGTGGTCTCTCCCCTCCAACTCCGTGTGTCAAGCGGGGGTCAAAGTGACATGTTGGCAAGGGATCAAGAACGCTCCCAGGACCAGTTGCCAAATGGCTCGTCTTCTTTGGAGGGTGCCCTTCTCAGGTTTCAAGGGAAACCAAAAGGAGACCAACCACTGGCCCCATGTTCCAGGGGCGCCAAAAAAACAACAGTTTTTTCCGTCAGGTTCCATGTTGACAGGAGCTTCGCTGTTCTTGGCAAGTTCTTCTTCTGAGTTGTTTTTTCTTCTTTTTTTTTCCCGGTTCTCTTCATGTTTAGGTCCGGGCTGCAAAAAACGTTATTTATTTTGCCAGCCCATACCAAGGGGTGTTGTTGGGACGCATGTCACATTTTGCTTGTTGTGGTTTAGTGGTTGAAATCCTCCCCATAACTGCTTAAATTTAACTGTTTGCTCCCCTTCCAACGTCAACCAAGATACCAAGTTATTGTCATGGGAGTTGGTCACCCAGTTGCAGCCTCGGCTCCGACGAGCCGGTGAGGCGACTGCATATCGTGGGGTTGGGTTGAGGGGTTGAGGGGCGACCCCTCCTTTTTTTTTTGGGGGGGGAAATACATTGGGAGAAACCTTCCTACATGGTTGACCTGCCTCAGAGGGCTTCTACTTTCCAATACTTGGTTTTGGGGGTCTCCTTAAAGCTGTTTGGGGCTTGTTCTCCTCAAAGACCAAGGGATGAAAAAGCGGACGCTGGAGAGCATGAACGTCCACAGGGCGTGATTTCCACATCCCGTTTTTGACCATTTGCAGTCGTCCGGCTGGAATGAATGATCCAGGGGGGAAATACAACATGTGTGCACTGCTTTGCCATGTCTAGACACCCAGTGGTTGCTTGTTTAAACCAATTTGGCCCAATTCTGGTTACGCGTCCTAGAATCCAAGGTTATTTGAGGAAACACGACTGGGAGATCACTCTTTTGCATAGCATCCTGGATGGATAAATGCTTGAGGCCGATATGTTCAAAGAGATGTGGCGGTGTATTTTCGAGGACGCACCCGTTTTTTGGATTGCTTCCAAAGGGGAAGCCAAAAGAAACCACACGCATTCTGGGGAGGTGTTTTGCCAATCTGCAGACAAACCCTCAGTGATGCTAGTCGTACGTGTACAAGCAGAGCTTGATGTATTGCTGGCTGAGATGTTGACGTTGGCAGAAACCAGCACCTGCCACTTTCTGTGAGTGGCCAAAAAAGAACCCCTTGCAGCGACAAAGTAATCGTAAGAAGGTCCCCTTTGGCATCGCAGCAAGGGTTGCTTTCCGCAGTGGGGTGGTGTTTCTACGGATGGCTGAGCTGTGCCGGGGCCGGGCAACCTTTGATTTGTCGCTGGCTCAAGCCTCCCAAGCATCTCGCTCACGGCCCCCGGCGTTCCTTAACAGTCTTTGCACAGCAATGGCACCCATGAAGGCAATGAAGGCGATGAAGGCCATGAAGGCCATGAAGGCGATGAAGGCAATGAAGGCCGGATTGGCAGAATTCAGAATTGACCACCATGCTATATGTCCATTCCAAGTATCCTTTTGATTGATGTGGTCCTCCTGATGACTCAGAAGGCGACATGAGAGTGACGCCGGGCTGTGTTTGTTTCCAAAGCTGATGTTGACCACGCAGTGCTGATTCCGTCAGTTTCAGTTTGTTGAGAGAAACCATGAAGAAACCCCTTGTCTACCGCAGCGTTGCAGCCAGGCATTTCTTTGCATAACCCTGAAACAAACTGTCCTGAGCAACTATTTGGGGGCGGGGGGCAACTAATATCCATTCAGGGTGTCCCTCTGATTGATATGGTCGTTTAGACTCTAGACGATTCCGAAAGTGACATGGGAGTGACGCCGAAATGTGTGTGTGTGTGTGTTTCCCATGCCGAAGCCATCAGCCACAGTTTGTAGAAAGCACGTTTGAAGGAGAAGCACGTTTGAAGGAACCCTTTTCAACATGCAGTATTGCGGCCTTGCATCCCTATGCGTAATGTCTAGGGGACTGTCCTAAGCATGTTGTTTTGTTACGAAGACAGGTGCTGGGCATTGCTCGGAGAAGATTAGGGGAGAGAAGCTCAGCAACAATAAGCATTGCAAGTACTTGGTCCTTGCTCGACATGTGCGATCATCGGGTGCCAGGCAATGAAGGCGATGAAGGCGATGAAATCCATGAAGTCTATGAAGGCGATGAAGGCGGCCGATGACGAGGATGCGCCCGCGATGAAGAAGGCCATGAAATCGATGAAGTCGATGAAGGCGATGAAGGCGATGAAGGCGATGAAGGCCATGAAGGCCATGAAGGCCATGAAAGCCATGAAGTGAGAGGCAAGAGCGGATCGAATCTCACCTAGCTCGTGGCGTTTGAATGCCAGACTTGATGGCCCAGACAGCATCGCGGGGCTGGGAGGGATTTTCTCTGGTCCATAGGGCCAGTGATCGATGTACAGGGTGTGTGAAACAAGCAGAGCGCGCCAGCCTCACATGAATGAAGAGCACCGCTGGCAAGCAGGGTGCGAGTTGCTGTAGATGTGTTGCTGCATGTGACATCTCTTGATGGATGCACACTGTTGCATTCAAAGATGTGTTGCAACAAGGTGCCATCCCTTGATGACTGCAAGAGGGACACTTGGCAGAGGTGGACCAGTTGGCAGAGGTGGACCAGTATTCCTGGAGGTCGATGCTTAATTGGCAGAAACCAGTGCTTCAAGCAGTAGGGCTGTTTCCTTTGGCTGAGCTGCGCTAGCACAGCGCCAAGTAGAATTCGATTCCTTGCTGGCTCAAGCCTCCCAAGCAACTCGCTCACGGCCCGCAGCGTTCTTGCAAGTCTCTACGCTGCAATGGCACCCATGAAGGCAATGAAGGCGATGAAGGCCATGAAGGCCATGAAGGCGATGAAGGCAATGAAGGCCAGATTGGCAGAATTCAGAATTGACCGCTTGACCGTTGGATTGGCAACACCCTTGCATCCTGCGGAAGTGTTTCCTGTTAAAGGGGGAAACGATATATGTCCATTCCAAGTATCCTTTTGATTGCTCCTGATAACTCAGAAGATGACATGAGAGTGACGCCGAAATATCAAATATGTTTGTTTACAAAGCTGATGTTGACAAGCGCAGTGCTGATTCCGTCAGTTTCAGTTTGTTGAGAGAAACCATGAAAGAACCCCTTTCCTACTGCAGCGTTGGATCCTGGCATTGCCATGCGTAATTCTCTTGCATCTGTCCTAAACACATTGGGGGCGGGGGGCAACCAATATCCATTCAGGGTGTCCCTCTGATTGATATGGTCGTTTAGACTCTAGACGATTCCGAAAGTGACATGGGAGTGACGCCGAAATGTGTGTGTGTGTGTTTCCCATGCCGAAGCCATCAGCCACAGTTTTTAGAAAGCACGTTTGAAGGAGAAGCACGTTTGAAGGAACCCTTTTCAACATGCAGTACCGCGCCTTGCGTAATGTTCAGGGGACTGTCCCAAACATGTTGTTTTGTTGCGGGCACAGGTGATGGGCATTGTTTTGAGAAGATTGGGGGAGAGCTCAACAACAAAAGGCATTTGCAAGTACTTGGTCCTTGCTCGACATGTGCGATCATCGGGCGCCAGGCAATGAAGGCGATGAAGGCGATGAAATCCATGAAGTCTATGAAGGCGATGAAGGCGGCCGATGACGAGGATGCGCCCGCGATGAAGAAGGCCATGAAATCGATGAAGGCGATGAAGGCGATGAAGGCGATGAAGGCAATGAAGGCCATGAAGGCCATGAAAGCCATGAAAGCCATGAAGTGAGAGGCAAGAGCGGATCGAATCGTGGCGTTTGAATGCCAGACTTGATGGCCCAGACAGCATCGCGGGGCTGGGAGGGATTTTCTCTGGTCCATAGGGCCAGTGATCGATGTACAGGGTGTGTGAAACAAGCAGAGCGCGCCAGCCTCACCATATGAATGAAGGGTGCTAGTTGGGAAGGGGGGTCATCTGTGCACGTGGTGAGGCGGTCTTCTGTGCACGTGGCCAAGCGGTCTTTTGTGCACGTGTTTTTTGTATGGTTTGTTCAGACCTCATGGTATTTACAGCTAATCGGCCTGGTGATTTGTGCACGTGCTGACCAAAAAAAGGCTGTTTTGCTTGGGTTCTTCCACACATCAGAGGCCGGAAATGTGTTCGAGTTGGATTGAAATCACGAAGGTTCGCAGTACGATCGTTATCTTCACAACGTCGCATGATTCCAGCAGTGATTCAGCTAGATTAGTCGAATGACCTTGACAGTCTTTTTGGGCACCGCATGATTCCACAAGTGAATTAGATCATATTCTTGGCCTGACTTCAGGCCTGGTTTCTTCTGTCAATTCACGTTGTGTTCATGAGGGCTGTTTCGATGATCATACGGTTCGTTACTGCAAGCTTTGTGATAGCACTTGATTTTGTTGATACTTATTGCTTTGAATGTTTGATGCGCACGCAATACTGCAATACTTTCTGAGTCCGCACTTTTTGTTCACGAAAGGAGCAGCCAACCCCCAAATAGTGACCAGCAATCCAACTCGAAAAGTAGCACATGAGTCCAAGCATGTCAGCCCCCCCGCCCGGCTACCTCCCCCCCGTTTCCTACCGAGACTTGCCACCCCTCCCCCTCCCAATGGTGCGTGACTTGGCTCGCGTGAACGTCGAAGCTAACCACCGTCCACCAACGCTTACCACCCACCCACGTGAATTGGTTCGCGCAAACATCGACGCTTGCCAACCCCCCCCCCCCCCCCCACCCACGTCCCGCCGACGCTTACCATCCACTCACCCTCTTGTTGGTTCGCGTGAGCGTCGAAGCTTGCCACCCCCCCCTACTCCCACCGACGCTTACCATCCACCCACTTGATTTGCGTGAACATTGAAGCTCCCCTTGCAACCCCTCGTCCCACCAACGCTTACCCCCCACTCCCCATCAACATCAATCCACCCACCCGCGTGAGTTGGTTCGCGTGAAGGTTTACCGCCCCCCCTCCCCCCAAACCACGCGTCCACCGACGCTTGCCATCCACACACCCGCGTGAGTTGGTGCGCGTGAACGTTGAAGCTTGCCACCCCATCCCCCCCAATCTGGTTCACGTGAACGTCGAAGCTTACCACCCCCCTCCCCCCCAAACCACGCGTCCCACAAACACCTACCAGGCGCGCGTCCCCCATACCCACCCGCGTGAGTTGGCGTGCAAGCTTACCACCCCCCACCCACCCACGTGAGTTCGTGCGCGTGAACGTCGAAGCTTACCAACCCCCCAGCGGCCGCAAAGAAACTACTTGAGTGAGCGCAGCCTATACGCCACGTCCGCTTCGTGTTGGTATACATGTGTGTCATTGGCGCGGTTATGGAAGCGGGCAGCCCCAACCGTCGCAGCAATTCGATGGCGAGGTGGACGTCTATTTGTCGAGGCGCGCTGTGTAGTCAAGGCTTACGCCAGCGACCTGCTGGTCACCAGTCCTGGCCTTTGCCAGTTTGCCTAGTATAGGCGCAGTTGCTGTCAAGGTG